ACATGTCAGCATAAAAGGCCATGGCTAAATGCAGTTTTCTGGGGGCATCAACAAATGGGCTGCAATCAGTACTGTGATGTATTTCAGCTTGAACACATTAGTTCTTAGAGCAAAGATCCTGTACGTCATCTTCACTGGTCTGGTACGCTACCACCTACCACTTGGTTTGCCTTTAGCATGTAAGCCATACCCAGCGTATTGCCAAAATATTATTTCCAAGAGTTGTTATACAAAATCAAGCACTCTATCTCTTTTCCCAAGGTGTAATTATTATTTCAGTTTATGACAAAATTCACTGTACCCTCTTTAGGCTTAAGGACTTTTCTAGTCTCCCACAAAGACTCTTGATTTTGTAATCTCTTTCCAGTCTTAGAATTTTGTAGCCCTTTTAGCATTGAGCTAATCCAGACACCCCACACACCCTCCAGGCCTCCTCCTAGGATTCTGCCTTTGAGTTTTGGAGAGTTGTTTTCTCCAAGTTCTCTTCCCAATAGGCTTTCTTCCTGAGAGCCTGACCCAGAAATTCAGATGCTGTGGTATTTCCCAAGAGGCCTTGTTATTAACAAACGTTCCCATGACATGATCTTTGGATTATTCCTCTTTGAAAAGTGAGCTGCACACACTTGCACAAGGCTGAGATCTAACAACCAGAAAGGGACAACCTGTTAGAGACTCCTATTTGCAATACTGTTATTTCTCCTAGGGAATATCAACAGTTAGCAAAGGTGTATGAACCACCTCTCCATTTCACCTTCTCCTCTAAAAAGCTATGTATGAATTTCTTTTCTAGCAAGGAGCACTTACCCTGCTGCCCCTGCGGTGTTTGTGAGATGATGAACTGTGCTGGCTGCAAGTTGGTTGTTGGATGCACCAACACAAACTGTTGCAGGTTGAGATTCTGCTGCTGAAGCTGCTGCAAGTGCTGCAAATCCTTAAGGAAACAGGGGAAGGAAAAAAAAAAAAAAAAAGAAGAAGAAGAAGAAAAAGAGAAAGAGAAAAAAAGGAAAAAAAGAAAAAAGAAAAGGGAAAAAAAAAGAAAAAAAGACAAAGGAAAAGAAAGAGCTGTGTGTTAAACATTTAAGTCAGCCATGACTCCCAAGGTAACTAGATTTCCTATCAACCAGTTACATTCTAACATTTAGAGATAAAAGTGGATGTCAAACAATAACAGTCCTGCTACTGAATATCCTTTAGGCTGTGATTTTTAATTCCGTTGTCCTTCATAAAACAAACCAAAAATTGTTTGCCAAATAACCCAGCAAAATATTTCCATCATTGTTCTGCTTTTTTAAAAAAATAAAAATCAGTCTCCCTCCCCCCAAATGCAGAAGTTTTCAAATTCTTTCGACTTATCAGCACTTGGATTTCTCAGACTTATATTTTGAGGATGCAGCTCTGTTACAAAATTTACTGTTGACAAATCAAGCATATTAGCTGGGAGCTATTTTTGTTTATAACAACAACAACCCGCAATTACCATTCTAATCAGCAACAAGAAAGCAAAAATTTACAGATTCCTAGTTTGCACTCTGGTTGTTCAGGTCAAATTTCAGGAAGTAGCTAACTCAAATAGTGAATAAATATATTTGATTAGTTCTGAAACAAATCACAATAAGCTTAATAAACATGGCTATAATTAAGGTTAAAAGGAATAACCCAAAACACTGCATTACTGTAGAACCCTTTTTTAATGTATTTAAATCATTCAGAACTATTAATTTTCTATAATTAAATGACTGATCTTGCCATAAATACTAATTTCTGAGAAACTGAATCATCAAGAAAAATGCTTCAACTTGCTGTTTAGCTAGAGAATGAAAACATAGAGAACTGCCTAAAAATATTCCCTATAACTATCTATACACGTCCCTATAACTATCTATACACGTGTAGAAACTTTCCATCTTTCTGAGACGCAGCTGTTTCAAAATACCTGCCAAGCAGACGGACAAAAGCCTGAAATATTTCCCACACTTACGACCTCCCCTTATACAAACCAAACAAATGAAACAAAAAACCTCCCAACACTCTACTTCAGATAAGTTACTCAGATACCTGAGCACCTGTTTGCAGACAGATACTCTCTTTTGGGTCCAAATGTGTCAGAAGATGTTAACAATGCCAGTTCGCCCCTAAACAGTGCCCAATCTGGCTGCTTGAATGGAGCTGCTCACTTTAACATACTTCCTAACATACCTGAGTTAAGGTGAGCCAGACTAACAAAGACCTGCTTCTTAAGGACAGTAAAGGAGCCCCCACCATTTTGACTGATGCAGGTTACCGAACACTCACACCAGCTGCTCAGCAGCAGATATGAAAGGCCATTAACTGCCAGCAATGGAGATGGTGATGGAAAGTCAAGACAGACTGACATGGATAACTTTTTGTTTACACAATACAACTGTATTGTGCAAATGGTTATCTATGACCTTACATTATTTTAAAATTGTTAAACTAAGACTGAAAACTTGCAACAATCTCCTTCTGGGGAAGTGGGGTGGGGAGTGCCAGTGGGTAGAAAGGAAGACTAGGGAGGAAAAAAAAAAAAATAGAGTCTCCATTGATTTATGAGACCATAGACGTGCATTATAAGAAAATGACTACTTAACCTGCATTACAAAGACACCGGCCATCAATCACTTGGGCAACTTGGTCATGTTAAGTCAAAAGCATGCAGTGTAATAACATGGTAAACAGACACCAGATGGATTGACCAAGCAATGCTCTTTAAGAAACAGAAAGTTCAATTTTATAAGAGAATGGTAAAATTTTAAAAAGTGCTCCCCAGCCAACAGTGTTTTTAAAGTTGATAGCATTGTTTGCTTTCAGAAAATTCGAGAAGTACTGCAACCACTCTTCTGAAATTGAGGCCAATTTCCTTCCTAAAAAAAGAGATATAACTGCTCCAGTTTTTCCCAGGACCTCCATGTTTCTTCTGACTTCATATCTTAAAGTCACATTGGTCAGAACTGCTACTAAAAACTCTTACTTCTTGAGCCCAGTGTGACGTGGACCTCCACTCATTTATTCATTGATTTTCAATGCTCTACTGGTTACCTTTGCAGATTGAGCAGACCCTCCAGCACAGAGGGGCTCATACTGAACTGGATCTGAGGACTAGATACAGAGGAACAAACAGAAATAGAAATAGTAGGGCAAGCTGACTAAGGCTGTGAATGCTGGATAGAAGAAAAAGAAATTAAGAGAGGCTAAAGGATGAAGATGGAGGTGGATACGAGAAAAAGTAGAAACACAAAAGGAAGAGTCAGGAAGAAAATTTTGAAGGAAAAAGTATGAATAGAAAAACAGATAGGTTGAGGACCTCCCCCACCAAAAGCAAACGAATGAAACCCCCTCACATGACCAAGTAGATCTCCGATAATTTGAAGCACCACTACAGGAGATGGAGTTACATACAAGAAAGAATACAAAGAAACAGTGGCACTGTATTTGTAAGATCAAAGGAGGAGAGTTTTTTGTTTAAGACTATAGTCTTCATAACATAGGTACCCAGCTAAGACATGACAGCTCTTATCATCAGGCTCTTACACTTTAATATGAGAAAACCATTTTTAAATTGAGGCCTCAGGGATAACTGGTATAAGCAATCTTACTCTGTGCATCTGCCTTGGTAAACAGTATCTTGGCTGAGTCTTGTTTAAATACAGAAATACAATTCTGTAATGCAAAATGGAAACGATGCCTCCAAGGCTAATCACTCTTAAATAGCCCTACCAGCCCCTCAAATTCATTTGAAATCCAACTTTATTTCCACCTTGGGAAAGTTTCATTATTTAGTTAATTGTAGCATTACAATAAATCTCCTAATAGCAACCATGTGAACACCATCCACACTGTTTTCCCATACTGATTTTTTTTTTTTCCCCTCAATGGTAAAATCTGTATACTAGCACAAGCACATAGAAAGAGACAGAAAGACTTTTGGGGAAACATGCCTGTCTTCTGGTGCTGCCTAAGAATTTAGAAAGATCAAAACAATCGAACTCCTATCTCAGCAGAATAATCTGCCAAGTGCTACGTCTTGACACGAAGAAGTTTATTGTTTTTTTTTTTTAAAAAGGCATCTAAAGTTCTAAATTCAATGCCATTATCTCTAGTTACAGCTTCAGTACCAACTTCAGCATCTCTGTCATTTTGAGGTTTACATCACATAAACACTGATCATGGATCCTGAAAACAAGTAAAGTTTACAAAGAACTCCAAAACTTGGTACAACTGTTTAGTGACAATTTAGCATCAGCCCAGCAGCAGCCCTAACATCTTACCAGACTCCTGCCGCAGATACCTTACATTAACTGCAGTGCACATTAAAGAAGTCATGCTTGTGCAATTAGTTAATTAAAACAAATATGGTAATCCCGTTGCTGCAGAGACCTGCCAGTTAATCAATTATTCAAAAATCATCAATTAAAACAAACATTCAGCTATTTGTGTAATCAGCTATATGTTTACAATAGCAACACAAACAAAGCTGAGCACTGTTTATACATCGTTGTCAAGATGGATCAAAAAGCATAGTGTTATCCACCTACAAACCTAGATGTTAGAAATTTTCCATAAAGTATCTCAAATTATATCCAAGACCTGCACACATTATGCCCTCCACTTTCATCATAAGAAAACGCTAGCAAGATTCAACCAAGCTACATTTATATGTCAAAATAACCTATCCTAAAAGAAATTAATTATCATGTCAAACATTTAAGCAATTAGGAATGCCAGAAAACAAGTGAAACTTTAATTTGTTCCCCTTGCACTACAAATACACATTATATTGTGGCAACTACATGATCACATGCTATTTTTCATAGACCCTTTATCTCGTTCACATGCACAAACCAGACAATAATCACTTCAGAAGCTCCTATTTGATGGCATGTGCCTGATCTTTTCAACTCTTCTCAAACACTTCTCTGAAGATTTAATAAACTCTGGAGAAAAACCCCACATTAAATTAATAATTGTAAATGCTGCACAGATTTTCATAGCTTCCTAACAAAGTGGAAGAGCAGGATTAGCAGCATCTCACAAATGCACAACAATGCCTTCAAAAGTATCCAGCAATTTGGTGGCATATTTGACAAATGAAAAGCCAGGAAGTTCAAGGTACAGATTTTATTAATACAAAATTTTAATGCTCCACACAAGTAACAGACCTCACTATCTTAAGGTGCACACCTGGAAGACAAGAAGCACACACCTGTGAATCACTTACATTTAGGTTGAGATGCACATAACATCAAATGGCAACTCTCTGACAGACGCATGGAGAGATGTTAGAAGCTAACCGTCAACTCCTTTGACAAGGACATTTCCCATTCTTTTCCTGAAATCTGCCTGTATTATTGACTACAGACAAAGGCTTAAGAAAATTAAGAGATGATCTTAGGAGTTATGAGTTTTCTTGAATGCTACATCCTTGAGTCATCTCCAGATCATGACAGTGAAGTGGGATCCTTTGCTAAAAGAAGTATTAATATCTGGTCACATGACTCGTCACAGTGCACCAAGATGCTCAGTGTGAGGGGTCTGTGGGCAATATCAGTATTGGCCTTTTAAATGTGGGATGGCATCACTTTGGCCTCTGTAAGGACAGACAGAGAGGTCAGAACATTTAGACCAACACCACAGAAGTTTGCCACTTCAGCTAATAAAAAACTGATAGCACAGCCAAGCTGTTATTCAGCTAGTGGAACAGACGAGCACGATAAAGGAATAGCACATTTTATTGATCGACTCCACAGATAATTGCAACATTTCCATTCTTTTACTTAATCAGCCCTCATCTTTGCTTTTTAGACACTTCATCCCAGTTGAATGCAAGTGAAAATAGTCTGAATAGAAAGTGTCAGTCTTAAAGAACCTGCCCACTGTAAGAAGCAACAACTTTGGAGATTATATACCCAACATACTTTGCACAGCTAGACTAATCAAACTGAAATATTACGTACCGAGAACCTTAATCTATGGAAAGATGGACCTCAGCGTCAGCAACACAATCACCTACTGGTAGTAGTCAAGATGCCTATGCTGTATATTTAGTTACCCTTGTTCAGAAGTCTAAGGAGTTTCCACACTACATATGCTAAGCGTGGAGTCAGTGGCGCTGCATTCTCCACACTGGATTAAGCCAGTCCTGGAAGACCCAGGAGGATCTTCACTGCTCCTAGTAAGCAGAACTCCCTTGGCAAGCAGTTAAGAATTAACAGGTCTTTAGCAGCAGACCATAAAACTGGAGAGATTCTGACACCAGACTCGTTCTGGCAAGTTTTTCGCTAGACACACAGGAGTGCCCATTCTTTGTCACTGAACTCTGAGCATTAAACGCCAAGCCAAAATAGCACACAAATGTGTCAAGTCAAACTGCCTTTCTTCAGCTCTGTCATTTTGATGTTTGGATCTAACAAGCATCCTTTGTGATACATAGGTATCCCTTCCCATCCATACAAGTCTCACAAAGTGTCATTTCTAGGGGCATCTTTCTATACCTCTTTTTCTCCTTTCTCAAGCTAACTACAAGGAGGAAAATTCAGAAAATACAGCATCTGGTCAGATTCTGGAACAAACTCAGAAGCCCAATGGAACTGATTAGCAGCTGGTACGCATTTTTTGCTAAAACTATCAACTTCACCCTAATCAACTAAGGATGCATGAGGAAAGACTACCAGTATTCAAGGACTCTAGAAACTCACTGAATAAGGAATAAAAGTATTGTTTGAATGATGCAATTAGTCAAACCTCTTTATTTTCCACCCTCTCAAGCCTCAAGGCTCACCTGTGCAATCTGTATTGGCTGAGATAGAGGGATCTGCGTCATCGGCGTTGCAGCAGAGGCCGAGATGGTGGCACCAGCAGCGCTGTGCTGCTGACTGGCTGAATGCTGCACTGCAGCCGCCAGCAACTGTGCCTGCGCCTGTTGTAGCAATAACTGTTGCTGGGCTGGCGTCAACGTGAGCTATAATTAGAAAACACAGCCATTAATAATGGAAAGAGCCACTTCAGCTACAAAGTCATTAGCTAGCTCATTACTAGTTATATTAACCAGACATTCCTAGAACTATCACTGAAGTTCTGCCATTAACTAGCCCATGACTCTGGCCTTAAGTAAGGACAGCTGGCTACTCAACACAGCAGAGGAATCAACCTACCACAGACCTGACATAAACCAAACCGCACGAATGCAAACATTTGCACTTACTGGAGCCTACAGAACCTAACCTTACCCCTAAGTTTTCTTCACAAGTCTACCAGGAGGTTCAAGAAAAAGGTAATTAAGTAGCAAGCAAAAGAAAAGAGTTGGTATTGCCAGGATTTGAAAGGAAATTTACACCCAGCAGAACAGCAAGTGATTAGCCAGATGAATGAGAAGCAGG